TCTCTTCAGGAACATGTGGACAAAGCCATTGCACTTGAGCCAGAAGACCCCAAGAGTCACTTTCTTCTTGGCAGGTGGTGCTACCAGGTGAGCTGTAGTCCAAGGCCTGAGATATTCCTGTCACAGCAATCCCCAGCATGGTCCTCAGTGTTCACCCTATTGGTAGATGTCCCTGTTGTATGTAGCCCAGGCTAGCCTCAGACTAATGATCTTTCTGCCTCAGCCTCCTACATGCTAGGATTATAGGTGTGTGACACTATGTCTAGATACTGCTTTTAATGTACAATATTCTGTGTATACTATTCCCAAAAAAACTTTTGACAGTGTTGGTGACTGAAATAGGAAATCACACTTGATAGGTACTCTACTACAAAAGCTTTCCTGAGAGAAGTCTCCTTCAGTCTTGTGAGCACTGTTCAGGTCTAGAGTTGGCAGCCAGTGACCTTACATTGCTGAGTCATCCTGGTAGCCTAAAACTTGTTTTTGGAGATGGAAGTTCATGTGGCTCCAGACTGTCTTTGAACTGATTCTCCTGCATCTAGAGTATTGGGATTAGAGGCACATGACACCATGTTTGGCCTAACGAATATCTTAAAACCTTCTATTTAGCCAGGCAGTGTGGCGCACACCTTTAATCCCATCATTTGGGAGGCAGAGGCAGGCTGATCTGAGTTTGAGGCCAGCCTAGTCTACAGAGTGAGTTCCAGGTCAGCCAGGACTGTTACATTGTCTTGTAAAACCAAACAACCAAACTAAAAAACCCAACCTTCTATTCACACTATCATTTTTGGTGGCAGGTCTCTCACTTGAGCTGGTTGGAAAAAAAAACAGCTACAGCCTTGTTTGAAAGCCCTCTTCATGCCACTGTGCAGGATGCGCTCCAGAGCTTCCTAAAGGTAGCAAGAAGGGAATGGTGGGTGGAAGCCACACTGGCTTGTTCTCAAAGTGTGTTTCCTAGTTGGGGATAATTTTGTACTTACCTTATTTTGAGGGAAAGTCAGAACTATGTGGTGTTTATTAAAGTATTGATTTCCTGACACACTAAATCAATCTTATTATTATTATTATTTTTGGTTTTTCGAGACCACAGAGGGTTTCTCTGTGGCTTTGGAGACTGTCCTGGAACTCGCTTGGTAGTCCAGGCTGGTCTCAAACTCACAGAGATCCGCCTGCCTCTGCCTCCCGAGTGCTGGGATTAAAGGCATGCGCCACCAACGCCCGGCTCCAATCTTATTATTATATAGAGCTTTCTAGTATCTAAACTTCAGCTTGAATTGAATTTATGAACCTCTTAATAAAGTGATTTTCTCTTTTCTCCAGGCTGAAGAACTACAGCCAGGATTTTCAAAAGCTGGACGAGTATATATTTCTAAGGTAAATTCACCTTCAACATGGGTGGCAATAATGTTGTATTTCTGGGATCAAAGAGTCTATGCTCTGTCACTGAGTTATCTCCTATTTTTTGAGGGCTTATATTGAGAAAGGCGTGCTAGTAACAAGATTCTCAATAGCTCAAGCTGACCTTTAAGTCATGGCAGTCCTCTTCCCTCTGAATGCCGAGTGAGGTTAACAGCTGTAAGCTACCATACCTCTCCCCCCACGCCTGCCCATTGGATTTTCAAGGCAGGGTTTCTCTGTGTAGCCCTGGCTGTCCTGGAACTCACTCTGTAGACCAAGCTGGCTCTCTGGGATCAAAAGCATGTGCCACCACTGCCTTGCCTTTCTCCCATTTTCTTTGAGACATGGTCTTGATATATAGACCATCTGCCTGTACCTCATGAGTGCTGGGATTAAAGATGTGCACTGTCATCTTCAGCTTCTGGGTACACATAGACATTTTAAGTTTTCCTTGTTCTTTCTTCTCAGTGCTATAGAGAGTTAGGAAAAAACTCTGAAGCTAGAAAGTGGATGAAGTTGGCTCAGGAGCTGACAGATGTCACTAATGAGGTAAGGTAGTCATTTCTTTACAGACAGTGTTTCAAAATGCTTTGGTCTGGCCTCCCTCTGACCATCTTGTCTGAGCCTTCCTCCAAGCACTAGGATCACAGCAATATACCACAACTTAGTGTGAAAATACTTTGTGCGGGGAGATGGTATGTGTGCACCCTGATTCTTGGTCAGAACAACCAGGCCCTAGCCCTCCACCTCCTTTGAGACAGGGTCCTTGTTTTTGCCACTATGCACGTTGAGTTAGCTGGCCAGAGAGCTTCAGGGGATCGAGTCTCCATCTTCTCATCTCCCTTAAGATCACTGGCTACACCAGTGTGTACTGCATTTACATCCTAACGCTAAAATGGCAGATGTTTACTATTGCCCACCTCCCCCAGGATCCAGTAAAATTTTTAAAGAGCCTTTAAATACTGATTTCTGCCAAAGAGTCACCTTTCCCAGGAAAGAAAGTTTACCATTTTATGTGGAGTTTCCTACATACTGTGCAATCTGTCTCCTCCCTTATGTGAGGTGCAAAATGGAGGAGACAGATTGCATAGACTCCAAGCCATCGTGGGGAAAGTTAGGAGGAAGACTGGTAACAGCTCAGTTTAAAGCAAAGGGCCCTTGTCAGGTTCTAGTGATTAGGGGAAAACTTCTGATTCTATACTAGATTTGCTTTCTTTGTCTCCTAGGATGCAGCTTTCCAAAAAGAACTGGAAGAATTGGAAGTAATTTTAGGAAAATAATCACATTTTAATGACATGGGGGCTACTATTTAAATGGAGAAAAGAAAATCAAGTTGCGCTTTTTTTACCCACTGTGACCCCACTGAGTTTAGGAAACCAAGCAAGATTGGTTCAGAGGCTGTCTTGACCTCTGAGGTTTGACTGCTACTACTATCATCCCCCAACTTCCTATGTTATCAGTTAATTTATTATAATCTCTTAATCTAAAACTGAGGATGGACTTGCGGTTTAATCTTCTGCTTTCTTCCTCTTACGTGAATTCCTGAAAAATCAAGACAGTATAGCCATAGGGTTAATTGTGGAGACAGCCCAGAAGGCCAAGAGCTGAGAGGATGAAGTAGCGGAACTGTCTTCCAACTGCTAGTGAGATAGATGAACATCAAAAGAGCCATGGCAACAAAGCATAGGACTATTTTTTGCTAATATTCAACACGTATTTATTGTCCTAAAGTCATACCCTACCCATGAAGACAAGGGAGTCGCCAGCACAGCCCAGTCTCTGCCCTCTTATGACCCATCATGTAGACTCTACCTGTATTCTTTGGGTGAGGGGCTGGACCACATGACTTCCAGAGTTCTGGAAGCTTTTGGGATGACAGCAGTGGCAAAGGGATTATAAATATATTTTGAAATTGACCCAAAGAGGTGCCTGAAATATTTTTTGGTACAAACTGAAATAAACTAAATTTGATTAGAAGGATAATGTGTCTGTTTCCATTATTTGACAACCTCAGAATTTTTTTCCTTCCACAGAGGAAACTGAAAAATAGTACATCAAACACTTTTGGGATCAGCCAGGCCACAGAGAAACCCTGTCTCGAAAAACCAAAGGAAAAAAAAAAAAAAAAAAAGAATATGGCAATTGTTTTGAGCCAGGCATTGGCGGTGTATGCCTTTAATCCCAGTTCTCAGAAGGCAGAGGCAGGGGGATTTCTGTGAGTTCAAGACCAGCCTGGTCTACCATGCGAGTTCCAGGACAGCAGGACAGGCTCCAAAACAATACAGAGAAACCCTGTCTCGAAGAAGAAGAAGAAGGAGGGAAAAAAAAAAAAAAAAAAGACCCAAAACACTTTGGACTCTTTGTTTTCAGAAAAAAAAATTTTTTGACTTACTTATGTGTGTGAGTGCATATCACATGTGTGTTTACCTGAGGGAGGCCAAAAGGAATTGGACCTGGAACTAGAGTTACAAGCTTTCTGAGACACTTGACATGGGTGTTTGGAATGGGACTCAGGTTCTCTGAAAAAACAGCAAGTGCTCTTAACTGCTGCGTTATCCTTCAGCAGTAAGAATAGGAGTCTTTTCTATCAAACACTATTAAAACTTTGGTTTAGGACAAGAAATTCTAATCTCTATCTCACTACTTTCTGAGTTTCTTATGCAAATGTTTTTTTGGTTTTTCTCTGTGGCTTTGGAGGCTGTCCTGGAACTCGCTCTGTAGACCAGGCTGGCCTCGAACTCACAGAGATCCGCCTGCCTCTGCCTCCCGAGTGCTGGAATTAAAGGTGTGTGCCACCAACGCCCGGCTTTATGCAAATGTTTTAATCCTCACCCCACCACCAAACCTGTTTACCTTCCTAAAGTAGAATCATTTGGCCAATGGTAGATCTATGTAACACAAGACTTGGAGGATAAAAACAAAGACCACAGAAAAGGCATAGTAAATCCACCTGCCTCTGCCTCCTGAATGCTGGGATTAAAGGCGTGTGCCACTACACCTGGCCTTTGCCTCTTTCTTGATCTATCAGGTTTTTACCCCAATATCTGACTCCCAAGTTTTTATTAACTAGAACGATTTAGATAAGTGCTTCAAGAACAAGATGAGCTGAAAGTCTCACTATACAGTTGATGCCTCATGCAAGACTCCTTAACCAAAACAAGTTTTTAAATTACGTGAGAGTTCAGTCATATAATTTTAAAGTTTGCATCTTACGTATTGTAGAGAGAAGCCTTTTCCTTGCCAGCAGCTTTGGTTTATCCCCCGCCAGTCTCCTGGGCTCTGCCGTGTTGTAGTCCCCAAATAATACACAAGACGCTGTATTAATTATGAAGCTGTTGGCCTTGCTTGTTTCTCACTGGTTATCTCTGACTTAAGTATTTACCCCATAACTGCCAATCTAAGTATTTCTCTTACCAGAGAAGTTTCCGGGCTTTTATCCCTATGGCAGTTACATCTTGACTCTCTGTGTTTCTCCTACCCAGAGTCCTCCTTGACTCCTAGTCCCACCTATCTTGCTTCCCTATTGGCCAACAGTGCTTTATTGACATATACACAGGACTTCCCCAACAACATATAGAGAAAAAGAATGTGGCAAACACTTATTCCCACTGTTACACATCTCAGGCATTTTATTTTACCATTATTGAGAAGTGAGAGAAAACTCAGGTCTTTCCAGTTTTGAAACATAAGACTGATAGCTGTTATTTCATATCTTTCCTCCAAACACCAAAGAAATCAGACAATAAACTCTATAAGAAGTGAACATTTCAGAACAGTTTGAATACTGACCTGTCCCCTGTTTCTGCCACCAGAAACTGATACAATAATTGTTTTTCTGGAAGCCATGTCCTAGCAGTCACATCAGAAAGAGCCTGAAGAAGCCCAGGGAGCAGTCCTCTTCATTAGGCTATATAGCATTTAAAAGTTTATCACAGAAAAAAGGCCCTGATGAGTCAGTCCTTGGCATCTCCCACTCCATCTGCATTAATGGCAAACATGGCTTCAGCTTCAGGAAGACAGGGAGAGTCGTAGACTTTGCAGATTCTGGTTTCCCCTCTTCCTTTCCTCAGGTACAGCCTGATCCATAGACAGACCAAAATACCAAGTTATAAACATTTCTATTCCCATGACAGAACTAATTGTTTCAGACATGTGTAACTTCCTAAAAGGATTTATAGGATCTTTTTTAGTGTATTTGGTTACCTCCAACTTAGAGGAATCCATTTCTGCCATGACTCCCTTATTGAGAAGCTTGAAGACGCAAACATTATTGTATAATTAGGAAGGCATATCAATATTCATGTATTTTCCTCACAAGTGAGAGACTTTATTATATGGAGATGTTTGTGTCTATACATGGCTATGTGCACATGAGGGTGGGTGCCTGTCAGAGGCTAGAATTGTTGCATCTCCTGGAGCTGGAGTTACAGGTTGTGAGCCACTTGATGGAGGTGCTGGGAATTGAACTCAGGCTCTCTACGAGATCAGAACATGCTCATAATCACTGAGCCATCTTTCCGTCTGCACAACAAATTTAGTGAGGCTTCCTAAGTGTCTATGCTGTAGCAATTTTAATGGGGTTTAAGTGGAAGTGTTTTACTTTATGTCTATCATCATAGTTTATATGACATCCACTCCAGAAAGCCTCTGCCACCACCTTACCTGGTTGTTGAAGCATGGGCAATGATGTTTCCTCCAATAGGTTTTTTGGGATCTGCAGCAAACATGGCTGCTCCATCCACTTGGGCTACTACCTGGTTGGTGATTACCACTGCTACACCAAACTGATAAGGGAAAGAATGTCAGTTTGGGACCACAGACATACCAAAACATTAACGTCCACAACAAAGCAATGGCTAACTAATGTCCTCAGAAGGTTCCTACAATTTGTAGCCACTGAATTCTTGGTTTCTTTACTACAGCTTACCTCATCAGCAAGTCGCAGCAGCATCCTCAGAAATCTGGCCAAATGCATTTGCCTGGCTGAAAGCTCTCCTCGACCTGAGTAGTCTGTTCTGTAGAGGGCAGTAGCACTGTCTACAATAAGCAGTGCATATCTACAAAGAAAATAATTCTTTGTCAAAATCTTCTCCCTTCCCCACCACTCTAAAATTTGACATGTATTGCACACTTTCCACTTTCTTCTTTTTGAGACGAGGGTTTGTTACTTATATAGCCCAGGCTGTTCTGAAATTTATGATCCTCCTGTCTCAGTCTCCCAAGAGCTAGGATGAAACACAAGAGCCAATGACACCAACTTCCTAGTTAAACACAAACACACACTTTTTTTTCTTTCAAAACAGGGTTTCTCTGTGTAGCTTTAGAATCTGTCCTGGAACTTTGTAGACAAGGCTGGCCTCAAACTCACAGAGATCCACTTACCTCTGCCTCCTCTGAGTGCTGGGATTAAAGGTGTGCACCACCACTACCTGGCAAATACACATGTTTTATTAAAATGCTTATAAAATGTCCAATCTGAGATGCCCTTTGGTGGGTATCTTCTGTTTTGTTTTTGGCAGGTGTCTCAGTGTTTCTGTTGCTGCAAAGAGACACCACGATCATGGCAACTTTTACAAAGGAAAACATTTCATTGGAGTTGGCTTATAGTTTCAGAGGTTTAGTTCACTATCATCATGACATGACACGGTGGCACACAGGCAGACTTGGTACTGAACAAAAAAAAAAAAAAAAAAAAAGAGCTGAGAGTCTTGATCCCAAGGCAGCAGGAAGTGAACTAAGACACACTTCCTCTAACAAGGCTATAACCACTCCAACAAAGCCACCCCTCTTAAAAGTGCCACTCCTGTGAGCTACATTTAAACTACCACAGCAGACTTGACCAAAAGTAACTCTGGGTTTTTTTGTTTTTCTAAGCACAGGCCTCATTTGCTTAGAAAAATGCTATACCAGTCACAGCTTCATTTTTCACTATGACTTGACTGAAAGCCTAAAGAAACTGTGGCAAAATACAAACTGAAGAGCAGAGATGGCATAATGGGCAAAGCACTTGTCTGTCATACAAGCGGGAAGACCTGACTCCCCAGGGCCTGTGTACGCCAGTCAAGCACTTGTCTGTCATACAAGCGGGAGGACCTGACTCCCCAGGGCCTGTGTACTCCAGTCAAGGCAGCATGTGTTTATAATCTCAGTGCTTCTATAACAAGATGGGAAGTGTTTCTAGAAGCCTGTGGACTTGCTGGCCTGCTATGCAAGGCAGAAGACAATAAGGAGGTGCTGTCTCAAATGAGGTAGAGAGTGACAACCGATGTCCAAATTTGTCCTCTAACCTGCACATATGAGCCATTTCATATGCATGGCCACACACATGAGTGTGTATACATAAACACACAGGTAACACAGGTGATGGGGGGAAGTTCTATGTTTATGTTTGTCTTATTTGTTAATAAATAAAGCACTGTTGGCCACAGAGAAGCAAGATAGGTGGGACTAGGAGTCGAGGAGGATTTGGGAAACAAAGGCAGTCAGTTACCATGCAGGATGCAAGAGGAGTAAGAGGTCCAGACCCTTTCTCTGGTAAGAGAAGACCATGTGGAAATACTCAAATTAGCAGGTATAAGTTAATAATTAAGTCAGAGTTAGTCAACAAGAAACCATAGCAAACAGCCAACAGCTTCATAATTAATATGGCATCCTGTGTGTTCATTTGGGACTGATGCAGCTCTAGGACCAGGATGGCGGGAAGGATGCTCGTTACAGGCAGGTGTTTCAAGATAGGGTTTCTCTGTGTAACAGCCCTAGCTGTCTTGGAACTCACTCTGTAGACCAGGCTGGCCTTGAACTCACAGAGATCTGCCTGCCTCTGCCTCCCGATTGCTGGGATTATAGGCAAATCCCACCACCGCACCACCAGGCACACAAAAATATTTTTAAAAGAAAGGAACTCAGGGTTAGAGAGATGACTCAGCTGTTAAGATCTCTTCCAGTGGACTCAAATTTGTTTCCCAGCACCCATGCCAGGAAGCTCACAATGGCCTCTAACTGTAGCTCCAGGGAATCCTAGTCCTCTTCTGATCTCTATAATTACCCCCACACATGAGGTATACATGCACAGAAACACACACATCAGTAAAAATAAATCTTAAAAACATACAAACAAGCCGGGCGTTGGTGGCACACGCCTCTCATCCCAGCACTCGGGAGGCAGAGGCAGGTGGATCTCTGTAAGTTCGAGACCAGCCTGGACTACCAAGGGAGTTCCAGGACAGCCTCCAAAGCCACAGAGAAACCCTGTCTCGAAAAAACCAAAAAACAAACATACAAACAAACCAAAAAATCACTACATTAAAAACAAACAAAGATGGGCAATACTGGTATAAACCTTTAATCCCAGCACTTGGGAGGCAGAGACAGATGGATCTCTGAGTTCAAGGCCAGCCTGCTCTATAGAGTGAGTTCCAGGACAGCCAGGGGTACACAGAGAAACTCTGTTTTAAAGTACTCCCCCAAAACCCAAATAAACAACCCACAAACCAAACCAAACAACACCCCTCCCCAACCCCTTAAATTTAAATGTCTCCATTTCTATTCAAATTATTATACAGATTCAGGAAAGGGCTATGGGAATACATTTAATGTCTTTTATTAAATGCATACCTGGATTCTACCATCATGGCTGATGCTTGATAAAGGAGCTGGGTTTGGTGGTCTGTGTTGAACCCTCGAGCATATGCTACATTATCTAGGACATCACTGCCAGAGAGACCATATCTAGAAAAGAGATTTTTAGGCTTCAGATATAGCTCAGACACATGTGAAATTAATACCTAATATTTCTACTACCCAAAAAGATAAGAGGTAGTGTTCCCAGTGGTTTCAATACCTACAAATATGATTCCCTTTCTATTAGAGGCACAGGCAAACCATTTATAAAGATGACCAAACCAACTATTTTAGAATAGAAGCAAGACCTAAGGATAAGTCAAATTTCTTCTTTTGACCCCCTACTTACAATGAGAAATTTTGAAATATGAGGTAACAATATTCTGGAAGAGCCAAGAACTAAAGACAGAATTAAGATAAACAAAAATAACAAATCATTCAAAGATTAGTTATGTTACATGAATGACACTTTAATGTTTGTCTCAAAGATTGTTTTCTTTTTCATTTAAAAAGAGCAAATTACCTATTTTCATTAATGATCTGTATTTTCTTAACTTGTAATTGCTACCTAAGAAATAAATGCTCAAGGTCGCTCAAGTAAGACAGTTTCTTTCTTTAAGGCCTCACTATGTTTCACATTGGCTGGTCTTGAACTCACATCTGCCTGTCTATGCCTGGAGTGGTAGAACTAAAGAAAGGCATGCCTCACTATGCCTGGTCCAACAATTTCATTCTTACTAAGTATGTAACAACAGGAGAGATTCCGTCTTTGAAGGCTCTAAGTTTGATTATTCATCTGTGAGGACTCAGCCAAATGGAGAATTTTTTTAGAAGGTGTATGACTATGTTTCCTAGGATAGCCCCAAAACCCTGGTCTCTAGGAATCCTCAAGACTCTGTTTCCCAAGCAGCTGGATAACAAGTGCCTAAGATACCATACTTCGTCAGCTTCTCCTTACCTCCAAAATAGATTTAATTCTCTTCCTTTTGTACTTCTAAAACTTGGCTTGAGTCTTTACATTGGAGAAGAAAAAATGGTCATAAAAATTTGTTTTCTCACTTGCTCTGAAGGCTAGCCTGGAACTCAGAGATCCACCTGCCTCTGTTTCCCAATTGCTGGGATTAAACACTTGTAATAACATGTCCAGCCCTTGGTTGTTTACTACTTGCTTACAACTCTTAAGTAGTCCAGGGTATCCTGAAAGTCAATACTCTTTTCTCTGCCTCTGACGTGATTAGATTATGAGTGCATTATTATACCTACCTTGTTTGAGACATTCTCTTAGTCCAATATGGATTTGAATGTACTATGTAGCTGAGTTTGGCTGAGAATTTCTGACCTTCCTGCTTCCACCTTCAAGTATTGAGCATTATTATAGGCTTATACCACCATCAGCCCAGCCCTCCTTGTTTCCTTTTTTTTTTTTTTTTTTTTAAGACAAAGTGTCTCTGTGTAGTTCTGGCTCTGTCTGTTTTGGAACTTCTCTTTAGACCAGGCTGGCCTTGAACTCAGAGAGATGTCTGCCTTTGCCTCCCGAGTACTGGGCTTAAAGGCATGTGCCACTATGCCCAGCCCCTGGTTTTCTTTTTTGAGACAGTCTTACTATGTAACCCCACTTGATCTTGAACTCAAGATTCCCCTGCCTAGGCCTCCCCAGTACTGGATTACAGGTATACATTATTATACTCAGCCTTAGTCATATGTATTTCCTCCTTTATTGCCATGATTTAAATGCAGAAAATACATATCTAGTTACTATACTATTTGACTCCCACCCCAAGATAATACTCTTTATCCTTATGATCAAATCATGAACACAAATTCCCAAAGAATTAGAGGCCATTAAATTTCATTTAAATACCTTTTAAATTTGAAAATTAAAAAACATATTTTGCATACTACATGGCACAAATGTGGAGGTCAGAGAACAAGCCACAGGAGTATGCTCTCAGTGAAGAAACCCCAGTGTTTTAGAGAACTGCCTGGGAGACGTTGGGGGCTTTTCTTTCTTTCTTTTTAATTAAAATCATTCTAATACGCTGGATATATGTGGTGGTGCATACCTTAAATTCAAGTTAGGAGGCAGAAACCAAAGGATCTGAGTTTGAGGCTAGCCTGGTCTACCTATCAGTTTCAGGATAGCTAGACCTACAAAGAGACCCTGTCTCAAAACAATGCCCCCCAAAACCAAAACAACAAAATTGATATTTAAAAAAATCAGGTGGTTGTAAATTAAGTTTTATTTTGAAATTTATATTCAGTTCCATTGATCTCATTTATCTTTTTTTTTTTTGGAGACAGGGTCTTATTTATTATGTAGCCTTCAGACTAGGTCGGCTTTTGGCACACAGGGATGTGCCTGTCTGTCCTTTGACACTATGCTTGATGAGAACTCTCTATACATACCTTTCTTTTTTTCAGTACTTAGAACCAAACCCAGGGTCTCATGTAAGCTAGACACTTTACCACTGAACTATATCCCTAGCTGCTAAACTATTTTTAAGTCATAATCATCTGTAACGACAACTGTCATTTTATGAGTTTTAAGTTGAGTCCTCAGGTTGGAGATGGCTCAGTGGTAAAGAACTGTGGCTGCTCTTATATTCAATTCCCAGCACTCATACAGCAGCTCATAACCATAATACAAACCAAATTCCAGTTTTTGATATCCAATGCCCTCTTCTGGCTTCTGAAGGCACTAGGCACACTATGGTACACAGACATACATGCATACAAAAACCCGCCCTGACAAATAAATAAATGAAACTCTACATTTTTCCACACAAGTTTTATGAATTTGTCAATTTGCAAAATAAATAAAAATCCTAGCACTTAGGAGGCATAGGCAGGCAGACCTATGTGAGTTCAAGTTCAGCCTGGCCTACAGAGCAAGTACCAGGATAGCCAAGGCTACACAGAAAAATCCGGTCTCGGAAGAAAACCAAAACAAATTACTGCCCTTGCAGAGGACCTGGGTTTAGTTCCTAGCATGTACAAGGTTTTGTTTTTTGAACTCAAAGAGGTTCACCTGTCTCTGTTTCCAAATGCTAGGATTAAAGGCTTGTGCTGCCACCAACTCCTGACTCAAAATCATTTACAATTCTAGTTCCAGAGTATCTGACACTCTCTTCTAGCTTCCATATGTAATCCTTGCACACAGACATACATGCAGGCAATACTCATACACATAAAATAAAAATATGTATTTAATATTACGTACACAGTGTTCTGCCTGCATGTATCCCTGCAGACCAGAAGTGGGCACAGATCTCATTACAGATGATTGTGAGTCACCATGTGGTTGCTGGAAATTGAACTAAGAACCTCTGGAAGAACAGCCAGTGCTCTTAACCTCTGAGTCATCTCTCCAGACCCGGATCTTGTTTTTTATACAGACTGTGAGTGTTGAGTAAAGAATGTCTTACATTGCTGGGTGGTGGTGGCGCACGCCTTTAATCCCAGCACTAGGGAGGCAGAGGCAGGTGGATCTCTGTGAGTTTGAGACCAAGCGAGTTCCAGGACAGGCTCCAAAACAATACAGAGAAACCCAGTCTCGGGGGAAAAAAAAAGTCTTACATTATTAATATTGTTCTTTTAAACCACCAACTGGAAGGCAGAATAATGACACTTTCTAGGCAAATAACATTTCTAAATAATAACAGGTTAGACACATTCTTCTAATTTAGTGACCTACCTCTCAGCTACTGCTAGCAGTCGTTCTGGCCTAAATGTACCCTCGGTATCAATGTACATGGCCTTTCCTTCACCTCCACCACGGTCAATGGGAAGCTAGAGGGAAAAAAAGGAACAGTGGAAACCACCACTCTTCTGATACAGTTTGCCAAGTTCCCCATGATAAATCTAATTTCCTCCACTCCAAATAAGGGTCAAAACACTTTAACAAGCCAGGCAGTGGTGGCACATGCCTTTAATCACAGCACTTTGAGGCAGAGGCAGACAGATTGCTGTGAATTCAAGGCCAGACTGGTCTACAGAGCAGTTCCAGGACAGCCAGTGCTAGAGAGACACTGTCTAAAACCAACAACAAAAACAAACAAACAAACAAACAAACAAAAACAAAAACCCAACAAAACAAACAAAACCCAACACTTTAAGCCTGAAAATATATACACACTGTATTATCTCAAAAAATGAGAAAAACAAAAAACCAACTTTAAAATAATGAACTGGGTGGGAATGATGGGTCACATCTATCTGTCTGTATTCCTGTCCAGGAGGCAGAGACAAGAAGATCTCCATGAGTTTGAAGCCAGCTTGAACCACATATTAAGTTCCAAGACAGTCTGGGTCACAGTATGAGACCTTGCACCAGGAAAACAAACAAACAAAACAAACCAGCATGGGGCTGTATAGATGGCTCAGTGGTAGGCACTGGCTGTTCTTCCAGAGGACCTAGGTTCAATTCCTAGCACCCACATGGTAGCTCACAACTGTCTGTAACTCCAATTCCAGGGGATCTGACACCCGCATACAGCCATTCATACAGGCAAAACACCAATGCACATCAAACATAAATAATTTAAAAAAGAAAACAGCAGGGCCTGTATAGATGGCTCTACAGTTATGAGCACTGCCTGTACTTCCAGTAAGTTCATTCCCAGAACCCAGCTGGTGACTCATAGCCCTGTAACTCTAATTCCAGGGGATCCACACAATATTCTGGCCTTCATGGGCATCAGACATACACAGACATAAATGCACAGGCAAAACACCCATATACATTAAAACGAAACAGAAATGACAACCAGAGGCAACAGGATATAATGCAAGTAGATAGCGGACATAAAGCACACAACACTAGTGTTCTGTCAAAGTTGTGCAGCTTTGAAACAGTCCAAAGTACCAGATAAAAACTACACATTAGGACTGATCAGCTCAAATGTCAAACATTTGATAACAGGCAATGATAGCACATCTGTCTGATGTCAGCACACATGAAGTGGATCAGTACAAGGTCATCTATGCAGTAATTTGAGGTTAGGCCTGGCAACATAAGACACTGCTTCAAGACAAACAAATCCATCCTTCCTGAGTATAGTGACTCAAAGGCACTTGTAATCCCAGTACTGTGAGAAGCAGAGGCAGAACTTGAGCTTGTTGACTGCCAGTTTAGCAAAAACAAAACAAAAGAAACAAAACCCCCATGAGTTCCAGGTTCAGGGAGAGATTACCTCAAAGGAATAAGGTGGAGATACAAACATCATTTATTTATCTATATTTGGTTTTTTAAGACAGGGTTTCTCTGTGGAGCCCTGACTATCCTGGAACTTGCTCTGTAGACTATGTTGCTTTGAACTCACAGGGATCCACCTGCCTCTGCCTCCCAAGGGCAGGTGGTGTTTTTAGTGGTACTTTAATACAGAATTCACTGCAGAGCCTATGCTGGTCTCAAACTCATATCTCCTGAGTGCCAGGATTGTAAGTGTGCACCACCACACTTGGCTAGGTTAGAAGTTTTCCCATAAACACTTAATACTGTAATTTATCTCTATTTTATAGAGAAGCACGGTATCTATCACTTTTACTATTTTAATAATGCTACGGTATAAATTCTTCACACATTTATTCTTGGACAAATGTGAAATGTTCTAGAACTTAAGTTATTAGAGATCTAATACAGTGAAGTTTCATTTCATTAAGTTAAGAAAATATGAACAATAATAACAAATAATTTTTTAATTTAAGTAGTGAGCTAATGCTGTTATATTTTTGGTTCCAGCTATTATATTACTGACATGCAATTTTTCCAACTGTTAATGAATTAGCATTCTGTAAAAAAAATAACAAAGATCTATAGCTACTGAGCACCTCAGAATATTTACAAAATGGCTATTATTTAAGACTTTGTTTATGGCCAGGTGGTAGTGGCACACGCCTTTGATCCCTTCAGACATGCACTATGTACACAAAGTAAACTACAGAGAAAACATTTCTATGTAAAAAGACCAGATACTGTGCTTAATGAATCTTGTCAGGCTATTATTGTTACACATTTGTTGAGACATAAAGTTGTTATGCATATTTTTTGAGACATAAATGTAGATTGCAGGGCTAGGGAGATGGCTTATCAGTTAAGTGCAGTGGCTATTCTTTCAGAGAACCAGGGTTTGATTGCCAGCATTCAACATGGTGGCTCACAACTACTGTTAATTCCAGTTTGGGGTAGTGGCAGTGGTGATGATTTGGTGCCTCTTAAGACACCAGGCATGAACATGGCACACAGACATGCATGCAAGCAAAACACCCATACATATATCCACACAATTAGACCAATGAAGAAAGGCAGATACATCCAGAAAAATGGTAGGAAAGAATCAGTCATCTGAAACTTTCTATGATGTGGAATGATTCTTAGTAGGAATTATCTTCTAACTAGCTATGAGATTCTAGAGAAAGTACCTTTTATGTCCATCCGTACAGATGCACACAGATATCTTGGTTAACTACTGCCTGCTGATCTGATTAGCCTGAACCCCAACAACTCACCTGGCATGTTACAGCCAATGTATGACAGATCTGTGTCTTCCCAGTTCGGAATTCTCCAAACATCTCTGTGATAGATCCAGTCTCAATTCCACCTATCAAAGTCAAAGGTTCTTCACATAACATAACTGTTTAGAAACTATAATCACAGAATGTTCTTGGAGCACATGAATGTTCCCATAAAACTCCCATTTTCTTTTTTCTTTTGGTTTCTTGAGACAGGGCTTCTCTGTGTAACAACCCTGACTGTCCTGGAACTGGATTTGTAGACTAGGCTGGCCTTGAACTCATAGAAATCTGCCGGCCTCTGCCTCCCTAGTCTTGGGATTAAAGGTGTGCACTACACCACCCTTGTTTTTAACTTTTTGTTATTATCAGTACTGTGTGTATGTGTGTGAGTTTGGGCAGGCATGTGCCACAGCTCACATGTGGAGGACAGAGGACAACTCTGGGCAATGGGTTCTTTCCCTCTGTGGATTAAAGGTTTCTAACTCAGGTCATCAGAGTTGTCATGCAACCACTTGCTGAGCTATTTTTCTGCCTTCCTCCACTGTATTTAACCAGCCATCAAATTTCCATCTTCTGTTAGAATACACATGCATGCACGCATGTGTGCGCAATCATACTTATTCCTTAAGCAGTGGGAACTTACACTCTAAATACAGTAACAAAGATTAAATTATTTAATTTATAGCCAGAGCTACAGAGACACTATTTCAAAACCAAACCAAATGTTATATAATTTGCAGATAATTCTAGTACTTTATAAAGCAGTGCCAGCATGACTAATTCATGCCTATGATCTCAAATCCTAATACTTGGGGGGTAGGGGCATGGAGACCAAGAATTTAAAGACATCCTTGGCTCCTGATCCAATTCCTAAAACCACCAAAAATAAGAAAAAAAAAACCACCTTAAAATCACTGCTTATTTTTAAAATAATGTTAGATTTATAGAATGTTACAAAGAAGTATACAGGGGAATTCAGTACAGTACTGTTCACCTAGTCTCCTCCACTGTTAACATCTTTCCGAACTATAATGTATCATCTATGAGAAAGCCAGCATCCCTATAATCCACAATACATTCAAATGAATCAACAAACAAACAAAAACCAAAATCCTAAACTAAAAAATTTTTACAAAAACAAATCTACAAAATCAGCCAGTCAAGGCCTTGAAGAAATCTACTGTTCATACTTCTCTACACCATACTCACATTTCGCATGAATTCTATACTAACATTCTGATTTGTTCTGACCTCCAAGCTGTGTTGATTAGAGTTTATAGAATAGGATAAGTGATTACTATACCTTGAAGCAGTTTGTCAAGCTCTTTGGAGCCAGTAGTAATCTGTATGATTTCTGAACGCCTTTGGTGAAATTCAGTTGCAGTGGTGAAACCCATTGGAACTAATTTCGCGGCCTCAGCCTAGGAAAAATTAAATCAATCACGTAATATAGGTAAAGGAACCAGTATCTGGAAAAGCTGGGATTCAAAAGGCTTTAGACTGTGACTTTTGTAGATTTTGGAGTACTTGGATAGACTTTACCAACTGAACATCCTTCACTGAAAATTCAGTGACTATTCCAAAATCTGAAACTTCTCGAGTGTGAGGTTTCTGATAAAAAAAAAATTTCAGACTTCTGCACATCTCACCTCTTATTTTTGCATTAGAGATATCAACCTACATGTACAGTAAGACAAGCTCAAGTACATGGCAAGAAAACATTTGTGTGTTGGGGTGACAGGAGTGCAACACCACAGGAGCTTTAAAAAAAAACTTTAACATATGTGACTTATCTATTTTGTGACAGTGTGATGTCTTTATTAAAAGATCTACTTTCATTTACTATGCATACAGTGTTCTGTCTGCAGGCCTATAGAGGGGACCAGATCTCATTATAGATGGTTGTAAGCCAGCACCTTGTTGCTTGGAATTGAATGCAGGACCTCTTAATCTCTGAGCCATCTTTCCAACCCAATGTTAATATATCTTTATACCTTATTTCCTCTTCTGTCATCCCTTAATATTCTGCCTTGCAAAACAAGACACATACCATTCCAGACTTCTCTCGATTCATGTCTAATTCTTCATTCCATCAGGTATACATTTTTGTTTTGTTTTTTTGAGACAGGGTCTCTCCGTGTAGCCTTAGCTGTCCTGGAACTCATTCTGTAGACCAGGCTGACCTCAAACTCAGAGATTCACCTGCCTCTGTCTCCTGAGAGCTGGGACTAAAGGCACGCACCACCACCTTGTCTGTTTTTGTTTTCACATGCATTGGTATTTTGCCTGCAGTTATGTCTGTGTGAGAGTGTCAGATCTTGGAATTACAGTTGTGAACTGCCATGTGGTCCTGGGAATTGAACCTGGGTTTTCTGAAAGACAGTCAGTGCTCTTAGCTATTAAGCTATCTCTCCAGCCCCACATTTTCTATTTTAAATACTTGATTATTTAATGATATGGCTTAGCATATAAGCATTTACAGTTTAAGGTTATTATTTATGTGAATAACCAAAGAATATACTAATATCAGAACAAAAGTGACCAATATATGACAAATTATTTTTTCTAAGTATGCACTTAGAAAATAACATCTATATCTCACCTTAGCAACAAAAACTATACTATATGTAGAAAAAATCAGTTTTAATGGGGCAATAAAAATAAAACATCTAGGTGTCTAGAGATGGATCAGTGGTGAAAAGCACTTGCTGCTCTTGCAGAGGCTTTACAACTGTCTATAATTCTAGTTGCAGAGAGGACTCAGAACCATCTTCTGGCCTCCATGGGCACCAGGCAAGCACACACCAACTTAAAAACATGCACACAAATCATACATATAAAAGCAGTACGTATTTCTAACAATAACAATTAACTATATATCTACAGGCTGGAGAGTTGGCTCAGTAGTTAAGAGTACTTGTTCTTGTAGAGGGCCCAGGTTCAATTCCTAGCACCCACCTGGTAACTCACAACCACCTAAAGCTACAGTCCCCTTAGGGACTGACCACCCTCTCCTGACACCTGTAGGAATCAGGTATGGGCATGATGCATATACATACCTGCAACCAAAACACTATTATACATAAGTCTTTAAAAAATGTAAGAACAAAATAATACATGTATATAGCATTTGAAGGTTAAACATGAACTTGAGAGGGGACAATCACACATATAGCTATCACCACACTTGCCTTTAATTTCCTTTTTGTTTTTTTGAGACAGAGTCTCACTATGTAGTGCTGGCTGTCCTAGAACTCACTATGTAGACCAGGCTAGCCTTGAATTCCAACTGTCTCTGCCTCCTGTCTCTGGGATTAAGGCATGCACTACCATATCCAGCTTTGATTTCCTTTTTTTCCTTTTCTCTTCCAATATCTCTGTCAACTTCTCCTATGTTCAGATACCCATAGGTTTTGCTTAAGTCTGAAAAGGAGTCAATCAGCTAGCTTACTAGTCCAAGAAAACAAAATTAACTCTAAAACATAAAGCTCCGGTATTAAATTCTCATGTGAGTAAAGAGAAGGAGTTTGGGGCTGCATAGATGGCTCAGTGGCTAAAAGCATTGGCTGCTCTTCCAGAGGACCTGCATTCAACTCCCACAACCCAAGTAGTAGTTCACAACTATCCATAACTCCAATTCCAGGCAATCTAATGCCTTTCCCTGGCCTCTCTGGGCACAGCACAAATGGGGTACATAGATAGATATACATGAAGGCAAAGCACCCACATACATAAAAGTTAAAAAATAAAAAAGGAATAGGATTTATTTTGGCAAGTGTCTTTAATCTTAAATTTGGCAGAGAAGTGCTCTAAACTATCAGTATCTTCTCACACATTTGCCCTGAGGGCAAAAGGTATATTTATAGCCCTCATCCAGAAAAAAACAAAATCACCAAATTTGTACATGTTCTCTGTCTCTTGTTCTAACAAATCTCTGTGTGTGAATTACAGGAAGTTTTAAACTACTTGACATAGGTCCTGGGAAGATGACTATATACTCTTAACCACTGAGCCATTTCTCCAGCCCCCTCCATACAGGGTATGATTTATTTATTTGTTTGTTTATTTTTTTTTTTCCGAGACACCATTTCTCTGGAGACTGTCCCAGCCCCCTCCATACGGGGCTTTTATTTATTTGCTTTTTTTTTTGTTCAGGACACCGTTTCTCTGAAGACTGTCCTGGAACTCGCTCTGTAGACCAGGCTGGTCTCAAACTCAGAGATCCTCCTACCTCTGCCTCCCAAGTGCTGGGACTAAAGGAGTGTACCACCTATGACAGGGTCTCTCACTGGGACCTGACACCAGTTAGGATATACTGGCTGGCCACTGGACCTTGGGGTTCCTCATCTCTACATCCCTAGTGCTGCTGGGATTACAAGTGCACCCTGGCTTGAATGCAGGTACTCATGCTTTCGTGACAGCACTTTAAAAGCCAAGCTATCTCGACAGCCCCAAACTTGTAAATTTAAAACTTCTCACACACACTCACATTTAACTATGTTAGTATTTTTCTTTTTCTTTTTTGTTTTTATGAGACAGGGTTTCTCTGTATTGTTTTGGAGGCTGTCGGTCCAGCCCGGCCTCAAACTCACAGAGATCTGCCTGCCTCTGCCTCCCGAGTGCTGGGATTAAAGGCGTGCGCCACCACCACCCGGCCGTTAGTATTTTTCTTTATTCTTTTTCTTTTTTGTCTTTTTGGGGACAGGATTTCTCTGTGTAGCACTGGCTGCCCTAGAACTCTCTCTGTAGACCAGGCTGGCCTTACCTTCACAGATCTACCTTCTTCTGCCCCCAAGTGCTGGGATTAAATGCGTGCACCACCACTGCCCAGCTTGTATTATTTTCTAACCTTTTCTATAAAAATATATCCAATACTTCAGTTACACATTCCCTAAAATGTGTACATTTTACTTTGTACACATAATTTACTATAAAACTAAATGGTATACTAAAATATAATTACTTCTCTAAAGTTCCAGTATTGTCAATCATACATTTTCAAGAGTTTCTATTGTCAAAAGTCAAGTAAAACCATAATGATTACCAACCTGAAATTCATATGTCTACAAGCAAAGGTGACAGAAAAATGACATCTAAGTCTACAGTATTTTGCATAGCTCAAATCACCTCTTGTGCTACCACTTCTGGTTGATTTCCTTATTGCTAAACAGGAAATACTGGTTCTGTGTTATTCTGTAGTGCCATTATAAAGGCACAACAAGGAAATGAGAGATGAGATGTGGCTCTGTTAGTAGAGAGCTCACCTAGCATGCGTAAGGCCTTGGGCTCCCTCCAGTGGTGCATAAAAACAGACATGATGGGGGACCCTTGTACTCCCAGAACCAGGGAGGTAGAAACAGGAAGATGACCAGCTCAAAGTTGTTTCTAATTACCTTGAGTTTGAGACTAGCCTGAGCTACATAAGACCCTGTCTAAACAATAACAGCAGCAACATAATTAAAAAAAAAAATCTGATAGTATTGAATGCATTATATACTATTTTAAAACAGGTTAGTGAACCCCATATACAGTTAAGACAATAATAACATCAGCGGTTTTTATTTTTATGCATTTTTGAAGCAGGATATTGCATAGCAAGCCTCCTCCAACTCACAACTCTCCTGCCTCAGCCTCCTGAGTGCTGAGGTTATAGGTGCCTATCACTACACCTAAATGTTATTTTCTATGTTTTTTTTTTTATAAGATCTCCTTCTGTAGCCTAAACTTGCCTAGAACTACGTGGCCCAGGAGGAATCTGAATTCTAGGCAATCCTCCTACCTCAGCCTTCCAAGTGTTGATATGTTCCACCCAGTTCAATAAAAACACTCGTCATTTGTTAGAGTTAACACAAAATAAATAAATAAAACAAATGGGGATGGTAGTGGCAAAGCATACCTTTGATTCCAGCATCTGGGGGTTGGAGGAAGGCAGAAGCAGGCTGATGTCTGTGAATTAGAGGCCAGCCTGGTCTACAGAGTGAGTTCCAGGACAGCCAAGACTACACAGAGAAACGCTGTCTAGGAAACCCAAACAAACAAACAAAAACAATAATCTAAGTACATTATAGGAAGATACTGTCTATGATAAATTAAGCTACAGAGAGTATACACTGGAACTTAATATAAGACTTTAATAGACAAACAATAAAATACTTTTGGGTTTAAAAGTAAAACCTAATTTTTTTTTTTAAGACAGGGTTTCTGTGTATAGCTTTGTAAACCAGGCTGGCCTTGAACTCACAGAGATCCACCTGTCTCTGCCTCCTAAGTGTTGGGACTAAAGGCTTGCACCACCACCACCTGGAGAAAGTAAAACCTACTTACTATGGAAAATGTAAATGTCAGAAAATTGTAATTAAAAAAAAAAAAAAAGGACACGGGCAAGAGATGGCTCAGGGGTTAAAAGAGTACTTGCTGTTCTTGTAGAGGACTAAGTTTGGTTCCCAACACCCACATGGTGGCTCACAAATGTCTTCAACTCCAGTTCCAGGGAGATGAGACATGCTCTTCTGGCGGCTGCAGACAGCAAGCACACATATGGTGCACATATACATGTAAATGGATTTTTCTTTGGGCCACCAGCTCACAAAAGAAGGCACAGAGACTTATTAATTATGAAAGCTCAGCTACTAACGTATATTTGTTTCTAACTAGCTCTTTTAACTTAACCCATTTCTATTCATCAGTTGCAAGTGACTTGTGGCTTTACCTCTCATCCTTCATGTCTGTTTCCTCTCAGTGAGCTGGCAGCACCCCTGGCATCTCCACCCTTCTTGTCCCAGTGTTCTCTGTGCCTGCAAATATTGCCTAGCTATTGGCTATTCAGCTTTTTAGTAAACCAGTAACAGTGACACATCTTCACAGTGTAGAAAAAAATTATTCCACAACATATACACTTGCAGGAAAAACTCATACACATAAAATAGATAAAATTTAAAAATGCAAGAAAAGTCTGGAGCACAGATCAATAGCAGAGTACATACTTAAAGCCTACATGAACTCCTGGGTTCAATTCCTAGCCCAGAGACAAAAGTCAAATCAAAACAGTATCAAGCTCATATTCTTACTACATGGGAATAAATAACATTAATATTTTAGTGCATTTATCCCTAGTACACATTCTATACAAAATACACACATTTTAATGGGGCTCTACCCCTGTTCCTAGATTTATATACGGTTAATGGCTAATGGTGGAAAGAAGTATTTTCATTAGTGGTGTAGCTACTGTGAACAAATGCTCACCATGGTACTGTAAGCAACTTTAATAAAATTTACTGCATCACCTCAACACCCAAGGCCATGAAAGTATGTTGTTCAGGGGGAGAAGAGGATCAAGAGTAGGAAGGAGACAATTGAAGGTGATGGGGTATGATGCAAATATATATATATGAAAATGTAGTATTATATATTAAAATAGGCTAATAAAAACATTAAAATATGTATGAACGTATATTGTTAGCTAGACTTTGTTGTTGTAATTGAACCTGTAGCTTTGAGTACAACAAGCTATCACTCTATCACTGAGCTACATTCCCAACTCTCACCTGCCTTTTTTTTTTTTTTTTTTTTTTTGGTTTTTCGAGACAGGGTTTCCCTGTGTCTTTGGAGGCTGTCCTGGAACTCGCTCAGTAGACCAGGCTGGTCTCGAACTCAGAGATCCGCCTGCCTCTGCCTCCAGAGTGCTGGGATTAAAGGCGTGCGCCACCAACGCCCGGCTCACCTGCCTTCTTATATCAACATTTTTCCAATATCATTACCTCTATTTTTTTTTGAAGTACTAATAATTAAGCCAGGGTCTAGCACATGCTAGGCAAGTACTTTCCACTGAGCTATTTACCCAATCTCTCTTTTTACTTTTTACTTTGAGGCAGGGTCTCACTAATTAAGTTGCCCAAATTGGCCTTGATGAATTCATTCTGTCAGACACTGACCTCCAACTTCCTGTCACAGATCCCATACAAGTTTGAACTATAGACTTGTACCTAATGATGTGACATCACTATTCTTCTAAATTGTTTTAGTGGCTACATACATAATAAACGTATTTTGGGTCTGGAGAAATGTTTCAGTGGTTAAGAGCACTTGTTGTGCTGCCAGAAGACCAAGGTTTGATTCCCAGGACCCACATGTTGGCTCACAAACATCTGCAACTCCAGTTCCAGGGGATCTAACACTCTCTTTTAGCTTCCGAAGGGCACAGACAAGCATGCAAGCAAAACACCCACACACATAAAACAAAATAATCTCAAAAAGGAAAAACCTTTATGAGGAGAAATCATACTCAAAATAATAAGGTGCACACCAATCACTTCTAGTGGGAATGTTAATCAGTATTTTTGGCACCATTTTTTATCAAATTTCATGATAATGCAATTCTCTATAGGAAATCTGAATTTAAGATAAAAATTCCCAACAGCCAGGCAGTGGTGGCATTACCTTTAATCTCAGCACTCGGGAGACAGAGGCAGGAGGATCTCTGTGAGTTTGAGGACAGTCAGGGCTGTCACACAGAGAAACCCTGCTTTGAAAAACAAACAAAAATTGCCAACAGTCACTTCTAGAAAGATGACAAGCAAATGAAAGAGGCAAATGGTGGGATAACTAAGTCCCGATGCGTCTGACAGCCGACCTAGACAGATAGTAAGAGCATGTGCAGTAGATACTTCCTGACAGCCAGCCTGGGTCTGCCAGAGGGCCTTGACACAGCAGCCAAGTCTGATGAGAGATAATGTGGACCTATGGACAGAGACCACATGCTCAGCAGATGCCAGCTCAGTGGACCCACCCCTGGGGCAGAGTGGGAGGCATACAAGGCTTACCCCTTCCTGAAATAAAGTTAGCTTGTTGTTTCAACTTGAGAGTTCCTGTGTTGGTGTGTATGTGTACCACCCTCAAGGGACACCTGTCAGAGCCCTGCAACAGCAAAGAATCTTTCACTATACCCTGTTTACTAACACGTCTGCTCTCCCCACCATCCACAGCTATACTTACCAGAATTTTGTCAGCTTTGGCTTCACTAATTCCCTTAATATTTATGAGTTCCTTCTTTGGTGCATAAGCAACAGCCTCCACCGTATGGAAACCGGCTTCTTCTAATTTCTTCACATCATTGGCACTTACGCCACATTGCTGTAAGAAAACAAGGAGTAACTTAGACCTCTTGTCTAAAATGGATATTACAACTTACAGAGGTATTTGAAGACCACTAATACATGTAAAATCTCTACAAAGCTTATCTACATATGAATTATTAAATAACAAGCTATATGCTTTTTCATTATCAAAACTAAGTTTTGGGCTAGGGAGATAGTGTTTGCTCTTACCCTGAGGAGGTTGAGACACGTGGTTCCCTGAGACTCACTAGTCAGGCAGCCTAGCCTAACCAGTAAACTCCAGGCCAAAAAGTGTATATGTTTAAAAAAAAAAGGCAGATGGCTCCTGAGGAAAAAATACTGCAGTTGACCTCAGACTCCCATATGCATATGTACTATTACATGTACATATGAGTGTGTGTGCACGTGTGTACAGAGTTTTAAACTAGCACTATGTTTTGGGTTTTTTATTTTATTTTATTTTTTATTTTTCAAGACAGGGTTTCTCTGTGGCTTTGAAGGCTGTCCTGGAACTAGCTCTTATACACCAGTCTGATCTCAAACTCCCAAGAGCTAAAATTAAAGGCTTGCACCACCACTGCCCAGCAATAATACTATGTTTTTTTGTCTTTTTTGTTTGTTTGTTTTTTCGAGGCAGGGTTTCTCTGTATTGTTTTTTTGGAGGCTATCCTGGAATTAGCTCTGTAAACCAGGTTGGTCTTGAACTCACAGAGATCCGCCTGCTTCTGCCTCCCGAGTGCTGGGATTAAAGACGTGCGCCACCAACGCCCGGCTTGCAATAATACTATGTTAATGCATGTTAAAATGGACTTAGAAATTGAGATTAAACTACTAGCAGGGCATGGTGGTGCATACCTTTATTGCAGCAAACATACGGAAGAGGCAGGCAGAACTCAAGTTCCAGGCCAGCCTGGTCTACACAGTCGAGTTCCAGGATGGCCAGGGCTACACAGAGAAGCCCCATCTCAATAAACCAAAACCAAACCAAAAAACTAGTAACTCCTAACCTTTTGTACTATGACTTGAAATGACCTTTGGTATGCTGAGCCCCCAAACAACTTTAAACCAGCATTTTCCAATGCTTTCCAAACATAAATTGTTATTTCACTCAATGCTAGGCAAACAGATAAGACTGCCTCAGAGTAAGAGCTACCTTGGCATAGCAATATCCTTTTGGAAGAACAATGACTGGAAAGCTTTGTCCTCACAACTGACAATAAGGAAAGAAAACAGGAGGCTGGAAAGGGCTCAGCAGTTAAGAGCACTGGCAGAGAACCAGGGTGGGTTCCCAATATCTACAAGGTAGCTTACAACCACCAATAATGTCAATTACAGGGGATTGGACACCCTCCTCTGGTGATATACATGCAAGCAAAAACACCCATATCTATAAAACAAAGAATAAATAAAACTTAAAAGGTGAGGTGGCTCTAAGCCCAGTTCAAACCCTAATCCTATGACGGTAGGAAAGTTGTCCTATGACCTTTACATGTGTGCTGTAGCACATGTTTATCCACAACAATAAACAAATAATAAGCAAAAATCTTAAATGGGAAAAATGGTTAGGGAAGGGATCATTAGGCCTCAATCCCTACCTCCCGAAGCTATTTGTAGTTAATGGTTACTAGGGAAAAGAGAAGACATTTCCTTCAGCAACACAGCCACTGACAATTGCCTTTATCCCTGTAAATAACCCCTTGCCTAAGCTCATGTAAACAACCCTAATTAAACACATTGGATCAACCAAACAAGCTAAAACACACAAAAGGGGGACCAGGTATAAAGAGAAAGGAGATCAGTAGGAGTGACATGTGAGGGTAATCGGTGACCATGACCAAAATATATTTTACATATACCTAACAGGTGCTAATTAAAAAATCAGCCCCCCGCAAAAGGGAAATATGGGAAAAAGGCATGGTAGCGTATCTCAGCTACACAACGGCTTTGGGACCAGCCTCAGTTCCTAGCACCTACGTGGGTGGCTCACAAGTGCCTGTAACTGCAGTTCCAGGAAGATCTGATGCCCACTTCTGACCTCTGAGGGCATTAGGCACATAGGTGGTACATACATTCATGAAAGCTAAATACATATACGTAAAATAATAAAACTTATATAAAAAAACACAAACAAAAACAGCTATGCAGCCGGGCGTTGGTGGCGCACACCTTTAATCCCAGCACTCGGGAGGCAGAAACAGGCGGATCTTTGTGAGTTCGAGACCAGCCTGACCTACAAGAGCTAGTTCCAGGACAGCCTCCAAAGCCACAGAGAAACCCTGTCTCGAAAAACCAAAAAAAAAAAAAAAAAAAAAAAAAAAAACCAGCTATGCTGGTACATGCCTATAATCCTAGCACTTGGGAAATAAAATCAGAAGGATCAGGAATCAAGGTTATCTTCAGCTACATAGAGAATTCAAGGCCATGGTAAACTTCATGAGACCATGTCTCAAAACTAAAATAAATATCTAGGCTGTGATAAACACCATAACCAAAGGCAACTTGGGATAAAGTGTTTATTTCAGTTTACAATGTATAATCTGTCCTGAGGGAAGACAGGTCAGGAATCAAAGTGGACTAGATATTTTTCTCTTAACTTGCCAAATGCAAATGGATTAGATATTGCTGACTAACTTATTGCTTGTGTATATTGTACTTACTTTTATAGTTTTTGTTAGTTGTAGCCTTCTTTTTGTATTAGACAAAAAAGGGGGAACTTTAGTGATGTTATTTATGGTATATTAAAGCTTGCCTGAAGATTCAGAAAGCAAAGTCAGCCACAAGTCATAGAAGCCAGGAGCATACCTTTAATCTCAGCAACCAGAAGCCTTGAGGTGGTGGCACACACCTTCAATCCTAAAACTCAGGATTAAGAGGTAGATGGATCTCTGTGAGTCCAAGGCCACCCAGATCTACACAAGATAAATCCAGTCCTAAAGAGAAACAGCTCGTGCCTTTGATCCCAGGACCTGGAATCACACAACTTTAATCCCAGAATTAGAGAGATATGTAAGACAGGAGCAAGGTCAGTATCAGGCATTCCTTCTCCAGCCATGTTGAGAACAGGAATGCCCCAGCCTTGTTAGAGGAAAGAGCTCTCTGGTAGCTCAGCTGTTTTGCTTCCCTGATCTTCAGTGTGAACCCCAATATCTGTCTGTGGGTCATTTATTAATTCATGTTACATCAAAATACAGACCTTGGAATGCTTACTGGCTTGTGCCTAGTGGCTTCCTCAGTTTGCTATTGTATAGAACCCTGGACCATCTGCCCAGGAGTGATACCACTCACAATGTCCTTCCACACCAATCACTAAGAAATGTCCCAAAGACTCTAGGTTGTGACAAGTTGATTAAAAACTAACCAGTATACTTGTTTTGAATGCCAGAAGGCCCCAGGTTCAAAGCCTAGGACTACTAAAAAGCAAAAACAAAAGCATGAAAACATTATGGGGGATGGGGTCTGTAGAGGTAGCTCACTGGTTAAAAGCACTTGTTGATCTTGCAGAGGACTCAAGTTCAGTATCCAGAACCCACATGGCAGCTCACACTACCTGATAATGCCAGTTCCAGAGGATCCCAGGCCCTCTTCTGATCTCCATAAACACCAGGCATCCACGTGGTGGACATACATGCACGCAGGCAAAACACTCACATAATGTCTTTGGGTTATTATATATGACAAAAGCAACACAGACAGGAAAGGGTTTATTTGATTTACACTTCCTTATCACTGTTCATCACTGAAAAAAGTCAGGACACAAGTTCAAACTTGGACAGGAACCTGGAGGAAGGAACTGATGCAGCCCTACAAGCTGCCTGCAGCTTTATCTTCTGGAGGCATTTTCTCAATTAAGGTTCTCTCCTCTCAGATGATTATAGTGTGTCAAGTTGATATAAAACTAGCCAGCACACACATTAATACAAGGCCACATAGTAAGAACCTGTCTCATAAAAACAAAAAGGAATCTCAGGAGGGAGAGGCAAGGACATCTCTTTGAGTTCAAGACCAGCCGGGTTTATATAGTGGGCTCCAGGTAGAGACCCTGTTTCAAAAGAAAAATAATAAAAGGAGCAGGACAAAAACACAGTAAGATGAATCAAATAATCTTGAGACAATACAACCTATTAGAAGTAATAATAATTTTGCATTATTTATAATGAAGAGCTAGGAACTAAAGTTGTTTAGCTAGCACCATTTCCTTCAATAAACCTTCATTTCAATATATTAAACTTGGATTGTGCAGAACTAGCCCCAGTATCTTTAAAGGTCTTACTATAAAATTACTTGGTGGAAAATTTATTTCATCTTCCTATTAAAAAATTAATAAATCAATCTTAAACAAAACATTATGGAGGCTGGAGAGATGGCTCAACAGTTAAGAGTGCTTGTTACTCTTGTAGAGAACTGAAATCCAGTTCCCAGCATCTAGGTTTGGTGGCTCACAACCCCCTCTAACTCCAGTTCCAAACAGATTTGACCCCCCTTCTGTCCTCCTTGGGTATGAGCACCCATGTGGGCTTACATGAATATACACAAATAAGCTGGGCGTTGGTGGCGCATGCCTTTAATCCCAGAACTTGGGAGGCAGAGGCAGGCGGATCTCTGTGAGTTCGAGGCCAACCTGGTCTACAAGAGCTAGTTCCAGGACAGCCTCCAAAGCCACAGAGAAACCCTGTCTCGAAAAAAACCAACCAACAAACAAACAAACAAAAAAGAATATACACAAATAACCTTTAAAAAAGAAGTTATGACCATAACTTTGAAGGGTGATCCCAACCCCATTCAAGTCAAGGTGGAAAGAGAGAAGCAGTGCCACAAAGTTAGAGAGAGGGCCTCATGCAGCCCACACCTGATAGGAGCAAAGAATAACCGTGAACTCCTGACTCTTTTTGCTCCGCCATGGAAGCAAGTGCCACCAAGTTCAGCTCATTTACATAGTTTCCAAAGTCTTAAAGTTTGGGCAGATTGGAAATGTATAGAAACAGAGACAGAAAATCAAGGTGTTCCTCCCAGTGGGGCTTTTGTACAACCTGAAGAAATACTACACAGATTTAGTACCTGATAGTCTTTGTTTTGCTTTTGGGTGTGTGGTGTGTATGTGCATGTGCGCATGTGTGCTTGAGTGTACATGCATGGAGGCCAGGGGGTGATGCCTCAGTCACTTTAACATTACTTTTCGGGACAGGCTCTCTTACTATACCTCATTCTAAGACTGACCAGACTGGCTGCCCAAAAAGTCCCAAGGATGCCCCGTCTCCACCTGCTCAGTGCTAAGATTACAGGCATATGCCATTCTGCCTGGATTTTATGGGTGATTGGGATCCAAACTCAGGTCTTCATTGTTTGCCCAACATGAACTTTATCCTCGAGCATCTTCCAAAGCCTCTTGTTTGTTCTGTTGCTTTTTTTTTTTTTTTTTTGGTGGCTTGTTTGTTGAGACAGGTCTCACTATGCAACCCTTGTCCTAGAACTTGCTATCTAGAACAGGGTGGCCTCCAGAGATTCTTCTGCCTCAGTCTTCCAAATGGTAGAATTATGGATGTGAGCCACCACATCCAGCTAATGCTTAGTATTCTTAATGTTGAGTCTTAAAACAGAGCTGGGTCTTATAACAACCTACACCCTTCAACCTGCCTTACAACAGCCTTCTCAGTAGTATCTTCCACCTGGGTCAACGGTGAGAAGCTGTTCCCTTTTCCTACATGCACTCCTGGGTTACACCACTAAGTCCCTCTACAGCATTTTTATACTTGGTGTAAGCAGCACTGAGATTCTACCATGGGATCCCAGACCCTTGTTTCTAAATAAAGTTCAGCTATTAGGGAGAAAACAGAGTAGGAAGACAATTCATAATATAAGTCGTTATAACACTCTAACAATCCTGTACTTTTTCGTAGAAACTGACAACCTCCTGAAACCCCAATCTAATTTCTGTAAAGGTTAATTTGTTCCATTACATAGAAGAATGTATTACAACATTGTAAGTAAATACTTAGCAACTAAGAACATACCTCTAAGCAGGAAGGTAGTAGCACATGCCTTTAATCCCAGCACTCAGGAGGCAGAGGCAGGCAAATCTCTGTGAGTTCAAGGCCAGTCTGGTCTACAAAGCTACACAGAGAAACTCTGTCTCAAAAAATTAAGAAACAAACAAACAAAAGAAAAAACAAAAACAAAAAAATAGAACATACCTCTAACCGTGAAATAGGTTGTGGACCAAAGCTTTCTTCTTCCACTGAAGTATCTGCATTTGCTTCAAGTTGCATCTGCATAGCCATTACTGAAAAATATAGATAGGCATCAATAAGACTGAACTCTAAAGAAATACTTTTGGGTTATAAAGTTAGTTTTCCAACAAACTCTACCCATAGGTAAAGAACAATTGCTACTCTTGAAGAGGATCCTAGGTTCAGGTCTTAGCAGTCATATGGAAATTCATAACTGTCTATAGCTCCAGTTCCAGGCACTGAATATGAATGTTATGCTTACAGACATAGAAGCAACACATTTATACACATAAAAATAGCTTTAAAGTCAGGTATGGCAGGGCGGTAGTGGCGCATGCCTTTAATCCCAGCAGAGACAGACAGATCTCTGAGTTCCAGACTAGCCTGGTCTACAAGAGCAAGTTCCAGGACACCCTCCAAAGCCACAGAGAAACTCTGTCTTGAAAAACAAAAACAAAACAACAACAAAAAGGAAATAAATAAATAAAAATAAAAAGTCAGGTGTGTCTAACCTAAAACTGTGGGCTGCATGCAACAAAGGACAACTTATTCAAACAGATTTTTTTTAAGTTGTATTTTTACAAGGCAGCAAGTTCTAAGCAAGTGAGTAAAATTTCAAAACAGAATATTTTGGGTTTTACTATTAATTTGTTTATTTTTATGTACATTGGCATTTTGTCTGCATGTATGTCTATGTGAGGGTGTCAGATGCCCAAGAACTGGAGTTACAGTTATGAGCTAGGAATTGAACTTGGGTCCTTTGGAAAAGCAGCCAGTGCTCTTAAAAACTGATCCATCTCCCCAGTCCAGAATATTTTTATGTTCTTGGGATGATACACAAAGCAACAATATTCTAATAGGAAAACACAGGCTAGAAATATGGCAAGTGGTACAGTTCTTGTCTAGCTTAGGAGAAGAAGGCACTGAGTTGAATCCTCAATATCACAAAGCAAATAAAAAACTGACTATATTTTATTTTCAGCACTAAAGATTCAGGTTCCTGAAGAGGTTAAGTGATGGGGGAAGTCCTGTGTATATGTCAATAAAGCACTGTTGGCCTATAGGGAACCAAGATAGGTAGGACTAGGAGTCCAGGAGGACTCTAGGTAGGAGAAACACAGGAAGTCAAGATGGAGCTACCATAGGGGTCAGAAGTCCGGACTCCTTTCTCTGGTAAGAGAAATACTTAGATGGGTTAAATACTTAAGTCAGAGCTAGCCAGTAAGAAACAAGCAAGGCCAACAGCTTCATAATTAATACAGCCTCCTGTATTTTTATTTGGGACTGATGCGGCTCTGGAACCAGGCTGGCGGGAAGGCTTCCCTTTACAGTTAAGTAACTACTAAAATGAACTTTAAGCCTTAGGATGTACATCAATTAGTAAAATGTTTGCCTATCATGCATGAAGCCTTGGGTTTGATGCCATGCACTTGTATAAAACCAGACATGAGGTTAGCCTGGATTACCTAAAACCTTGTCTCAATAAATAAATAAAAATAAAACTTCTACCCACCAAAGACATCAAGAACACAAAAAATCAAATCATAACAGTAGAAAAAATATTTGCCACATACATAATCAGAGGGAAATAATCAGAATACAAACATAAAAACTCCTTCAAATAAGAAAAAAGGACAACAGAAATCAGATAATCAAAGATAAGGTATCTCCACAAAAACAAACAAACAAACAAACAAAAAAACACGAACATGTAACCAAGAAAATTAGAAACACAAGTTCAAAGACAGGCTGGGCTACACAATAAGACTATCTCAATAAGCCTCCACACCCACTCCAAAGTTAGTAAGATACTACTAAATACCCATCATAAAATAGCAATCGTTGGCAAGCATATGGAACAATGAAACATTCATTACTACTGGTGTATTTACATGAAATTTAAAAACAGGCAAAGATGCACTAGGGAAACAGAATCAGGAAACGAAGTTCAAGGTCAGCCTGGGCTAAGATTCTAAAAAAAATAAATAAGGCAGTTGGACGTTCTCCGCCTCGGAATGCGCATTCGTGGTTTGGGAGGAGAGGGTCGCGCCCTTTCCATAAGGTTCCTGCCAACCTTGCCATGGGGCACAGCCTGTGTTATCCTGAGATGGGGTCTGGTCGCCTTAAGCAGCTCCCTGCTGCTGTCCCGAGTGACTTCACTGAGGGGCCCCAGCGAGGCGCCTTCCCAAAGCCTCCCATCCAGGCCGTCAGGATCCCACGACTGGAGCCCATAGTTCTGGGAGGTTTTGTTGCTTCTTTGCCGTTGGAATCATCCATGCACATGCCACAGGAACAGCGAATCCCAAGTTAACTTGCCCACACTGGGATTCTTGTTGCTTTCCCATTTCCCCCGTTTAGAGGGAGTATGTACAGCTTTACCCAGCCCATACCTAGGTCCCTGCCCTTAGCTCTCTGGGTCTCTCCTTTCCACTGTCCAGTCCCCAACCCAGAACCGAAGAGCACTTGTTGGAAGCGGTCTCTGGGGTCCCAGGCCCAGCCCACAGGGCTTCTTTTGCTAGCACCGGACTACTTCCACAGAAATTGCTGCTCAGGCTGGAGAGATGGCTCAGAGGTTAAGAGCACTGGCTGCTCTTCCAGGGGTCCTGAGTTCAATTCCCAGCAACCACATGGTGGTCCACAACCGTCTATAATAGGATCTGGTGCCCTCTTTTGGTCCTGCAGACACACATGTAGGCAGAACACCGCATACATAATAAATAAATAAATAAATAAATAAATAAAAAAAAGGCTGGAGAGATGGCTCAGAGATTAAGAGCACTGGCAGCTCTTTCAGAGGTCCTGAGTTCAATTCCCAGCAACCACCCGGTGGCTCACAGCATCTGATGCCTTCTTCTGGCATATAGGTATACATGAAGCTAGAGCACCATATACATAAAATGAATCTTTTTTTTTTTTTTTTTTTTTTTTTTGGTTTTTTGAGACAGGGTTTCTCTGTATTGTTTTGGAGCCTGTCCTGGAACTCACTCTGTAGACCAAGCTGGCCTCGAACTCACAGAGAGCTGCCTGCCTCTGCTTCCTGAGTGCTGGGATTAAAGGCGTGCACCACCAATGCCTGGCATAAAATGAATCTTAAAAAATAAAGTTCAGTTGAAGAGAGGGAGGAGGGATCATATGAACAAGGCAGTCAAGAGCATGATGGGAAACCAGAGTCAGCTGAGGAGGGCTAGTGAGAGCTCTTGGACTATGAACTGACAGCTGGGGAGTCTCTGAATGTAGGTGACTGTTACGTGGCTTGACTTGTTTTGGGAGGGGGCGAGTTGTGGGACCAAGACCAATTACAGGTGCATAAACTGAATTTTTGGAGCCCATTCCTATGGTGGGATACCTTGCTCAACTTTGAACAGCGGGGAGGGGCTTGGTCCTGCCTGGACTTGGTATGTCAAACTTAGTTGACTCTCCAAGGAAGGCCTTCCAGGCTCTGAGGAGTGGATGGAGGTGGGAAGGGAGGGACAGGAGAAGGGGAGGGAGGGGGAACTGGGGTTGGTATGTAAAGTGAAAATTTTTTAAATTAAAAAAAAAGGAAAAGAAAGTATTTAAAAGTAAGGAAATAAAACCAAAACATGGATTGCATGGTGGCACTCTCCCATAGTCCCAGAACCTAGGAGGCAGAAACCATAAGATCCAGAGTTCCAGATCGTTTCTGGGTTACGAAGTCAGACCCTGCCTAAATGAGGTTTTGTAAAAATAGTCAAGTTAGTGAATAGCTATTAGGGTGAGGGGGAAATATTAGACAAGGAATGATAACAGAGGTTTTTAAAATGACGACAACATTTGATTTCTTTTACTTGGTGATTACACAGATATATTCATTTTGTAATAATTCAGGTATGCACTTATTGTGGATTTTGTATTTTATACTTGACTTTACTATTTCTTGAAAGTTCTTTTTAGATTTACTTTTTGTGCATGAGTATTTTGCCTGTATGTATGTATGTATGTGTATTACAAGCGTGCCTGGTGACGGTGGAGGTCAGAAGAGGGCGCTGAATCCTCAGGCACTGGAGTTATGGGTGGTTTCAGGTGGGTGTTGGTAACTGAACTCAGGTCCTTTGCAAAAGCAACAAGTGCTATTAATGGCTGAACCATCTCTCCAGCCCCCACTTCACTTTTTTCCTGAAGCATGTTCTTCCACATGCAGCTCAGGTTGGCCTTGAAAGTGCCATCCTCCTGCCTCTCCTCTCAAGTGCTAGGATTACAGGATAGGTGTGAGTCATCTAACTAGGATTCTCTTTAGAAATCTGCGATTTTTAGTCTTTACTCTGTTGTTTACGCAATCTTTGAACTCCTCCTACCTTAGTCTCCAGAAATCACTGGCACCAACCACTATGCTCCAATGAAAAAAAAACCCTAAGTAACAAAGAATCTATTAATTAGCCTTGGCCCTGAGATTAACAGCTGTGGGCACTTAGCTCAGGCTCTCGGCTCCCTGCGTCGGGGCCACAGAAATGAACGTGAAAGTCTTAATTCCAGCCAGCCCAGGCTGGACTAGGGTGTGAGCCAGGTCTCAAAACAAAAGCCTGAAGTACGGTTCTCCACAACGAGTTCAGTAAATCAGTTAGCGTCGGCCGGTTGGGCCCAGGCAGATGCCCAGCTCCGCCATCCTCGCGTTTCTCAGCGAAGAGGGGACCCCCAAGCCCTGGCCTTCAGCTGGGGAGCCCGAGCGGCAGTGGGAGTGACGCCCGCGCCCACACTCACCCGTCCCCTCCTGCGGCGGCCGGGTCTGCACTCGCCACGAGAACCGCCGTCACCGGCTCGAACCCACTTCTCAGCTCCTCGGTCGGGTCTTCTGTGAAGAACAGGAGCAAATTTCAGCCTTTCCAGGCGCGTTTCCGGAGAACACGGTTTGACCAGGAACCCGTCTGCGCGCACTTCGCCCAGTGACGCGCGACTTTCAGAAATCCCGCCAAACGCTCACAGACGGCCACGCCCGCATCCCTGCAACGTCATTACGCCTTTCTCGGACCCGCCTATAGCCACTTCCGCTGAGAGCCTGAACGATTTGCCCTACGACTTGGAAGCTGGGTGATTCCCTAGGTCACTTTTACCTTTATGACAGTTCTGACTCGACCCTTCTAGTTAACTGACTGAAGATTACAAGGCCCCAAACGCGAAGTGATCGGCCCAGGACTACATCACCCAGCATGCACCGCTGCACGCGCAGCTCTGTAAAATTCTTGCACACCCGGAAAAGGTCTTTGAAGTGTATTTGTCGAAATGCCGACCTTTTGCCGTTGGGGTACTTTTCGGAACCAGATGCTTTATAGGTCCCTGTGGGCGAAGACTTGAAGAAGCTGGAGTAAAGGGATAAAACCTGCTAATAGCCAGCCACTAGCAAATGAGTGTGGGACTCAGCGAGTTGTGCAAAAAGTTCTTTTAGGTGGGCAGTTGATGGAGCGGGGAGATGTAACTTATAAAACTAGCAAAAACACTCTTTCCCGCTGAAGAGGCAGACAGGTCTTTGTCTCTTTTTTCTCCCTTCTCTTTGCTCACTCCTTTCTCTTCCCCTCAATAAAATTTCTCAAAAAAGAGTAAAATAACTCATTCTGTAGGGTTTTTTGTTTTTGTTGTATTTATTGGAACTTTAGAAAGAAGTCTCAGAATTGAAAAGTAAACGTTTGTCTAGTTTGTCAGCAACTTTGACTTGTAACCAGCTTTTTTTCTGTTATGTATCTATGTGTTTTGAGACAGGATCTCACATACCACTGCCGAGAATGATCTTAATCCTTTGCCCCAACTTGTTTTTCTATGATAGGATTGTGGGAGTGATCCACCACTATATTCTGTGCTAAAACTGAATCCAGGGCTGCATGCCCAGCTGGCTATTATTTTCAGACAGGTTCTCTGTAACGCAGGCTGAACTCAGCTTCCCAAAGTCTGGGGTTACAGGCATAACCCACCATGCATGACATTTGGGGGGTTGGGGATATTTTATTGTTTTTGTGTTTTGAGACAGGGTTTCTCTGTGTAGTCCTGGAATTCTCTGTAGTCTAGACTGGCCTCCAACAGAGATCCACCATCCTCTGCCTTTCCAGTGCTGGGATTAAAGTCATGGTCCACGATGCCTGAGACGCTTTGCATGTTTCTCTGGATAACTTTCCCATCTTCCTGTCTCAGAATTCCATATAGCTGGGTTTATTAGGCCTTACAGGAATGTGCCATTAGGGCAAGTTGTGGGGTGCTTTAAAGTTTTTATTTAATCCTTACACTATTGTCATATCAAGACAAGGACAACAAAAAACCAGGAAAGCTTTTTCTGTGCTTCAGAAATATTATGTACGTGTATGTATCAGGGTGGGCCCTTACTTGTGAAGGGCAGAAGACAGCTTGAGAGTTCTTTCCTTCCACCATGTGTTTGGGATTGAACTCAGGTTATTAGGCTTGGTGGCAGCTACCATCTCCTCCATGAAACTTTTAAAATGATTTCAGGGGAGAGACAGAGGTTTGACTTAAATAACTGACAATGATAACACTTCAGGGAGCGTTTGGCAGTAGAAATAACCAAACTAGTTAGCAGGTGAATAACGAATTGCTCCTGGAAATATAGAATTGGCATCTAGGCAAATCTAAACTTAGAAACATGAGGCAAAGGACACCTGTGACTGTGTGGCTGTCAAAGAAAAAGTTTATTCTCAGCGAGGTAAACTGAGAAAGTGGGAGCAGAAATCCCCTCCACCCCTGCAAAATCTGTTTTACATTGTTGAAGTCAGATCTTTCCATTTCTTCAGAGGCCCAGCAACATGTATTGTTCTTGAGATCAATGAGATATCCATACATTCCAAAATAGTAGAGTGAATCAGTGGACTCTTAAAATGCTTAGACTGAGTAGTTTTGTTTTTTGCTTGTTTGTTGGATTTTGTTGTTGCTTTTGTTCTCAAGATAGAAGGTTTCTCTGTGTAACAGCTCTGGCTGTCCTGGAACTCACTCTGTAGTTCAGGCCGGCCTCAAACTCACGATATCACCTGTCTTTGCCTCCCAAATGCTGCGATTAGAGGTGTATGTCACTACTGCCCTGCCTAAACTACATAATCTTAGTGATGTCTGTTTTCTTTTAAAACAGGATATATAATCTGGGCATTGGTGTCACAGGCCTTTAATCCCAGCACTCGAGAGGCAGAGGCAGACAGATCTCTGTGAGTTTGAGACCAGCCTGATCTACAGAGTGCCAGGATAGGCTCCAAAGCTATACAGAGAAACCCTGTCTCAAGAAAACCAATAAATAAATAAATATGTAGCCCAGGGGATTCAGCACTATGACTGGTTTATGTGATGCTGAGTTAGGGAACCAGGAAGCCAAACCAAAATGTCTGAATGCTTAACAGTCTAAGTTTTATGGAGAAGGGATAAACAACCCAATATTAATTCCATTCACTAATGTTAGTAAAAAAAAATTCTGGCTAGATGTCAAAAAACAACAACAACAACAAAAAACAACCCTGGGGTTTAAGGTTATATGGCCAAATCAGTGGACCAATGGAAAGTGATCCAGGGCATTGTTATCCCTCCTGTGACACATTCAACTCTCACCCCCCAAGGCCAACATTATACGAATCTGAGCATGGCCATAAGAAATCACTTTTCTTATTAGCTGGGGTAGTCCTCCACAATAAAAAGGGGAATAGACTAGCTGTTCCTCCAACATGGTGAGGGGGGTGGAGAGGGGTTTGTGTGTGTGTGTGTGTATAATTATGCATGTTATGTTGTCTTTGAAATTTCTGACTACTGATGAAGTAGATTAAAACGACCTATATATTTAACAAATATCTTGAATTTAAAATAGAAATCAAAAGGTGTGTTGCTTTGGGGGAGAGGTTGTGCTTTTATTTCCACAGGAAATGAGAGTCTGAGGATTCATTCCAGGTTGATATGGATCAGGTTTGATCAAAGAAGGCTTCCTGAAAATCCTGGCAACAAACAAAGAAATAAACCAAAACCAAAAAACTACAAAACACATGACATATTTTACCTGATCAAACATAATACAAAAAAATAATCATCTTTGGGTAACTTGTTTAAAATACATATTTCATACTTGTGCTTAGACATATATATATGTTACCTTTAAATGTTTATATATTTTCAGGCTGGGCAGTGGTGGCACACATTTTTAATCCCAGCACTTGGGAGGAAGAGAGATAGGTGGATCTTTGTGAGTTCAAGGCCAGCCTGGTCTACAGAGTGAGTTCCAGGAAAGAGAGACAAGACTACATAGAGAAATCCTGTCTTAAAAAACTAAAACAAGTCGGGGTGGTGGCACATGCCTTTAATCCCAGTACTTGGCTGGCAGAGACAGACTGATCTCTGTGAATTCGAGACCAGCCTGGTCTACAACACATAGTTCCAGGACATCTTCCCAAGCCCAGAGAAACCCTGTCTCGAAAAAAAACCATAACAAAACAAAACAAGAAAACCTAAACAAAAACAAACAAAAAGTTTACATATTTTCAGAAAGGTAACAGATTCAGCCTAACAGACTACTCCAGCCAAGACTTAACCATTATCCTAATTTTCCCAAGGTTCCCTTCAAATATGCCATTGCCCCCCCGACAACAAGAAGCAGTCTACAGAAAACAACAACACTCACATTCCCAAAAGATTGGTTATGGATATTTGTCATAATTTAAAGGGGGTTGATTTTAAGTTTTTACTGGTCATTGTCAGGAAAAAAAGCTAGACTAAGGAGTTAAAATCAAAAAATTTCTTTCTAAAGAAAAAAACGGGAATATGATATACAAATGATGACATAAAAGGGTAGATTATGGAATCTAATAAAAAATAACTATTAATCTCAAAATATTTTACATTAATATGGATTTTGGCTTACTGATACATGTATGTTTTTACTCTTGTTTGAGGTATTGGGCTTATGCAGCTCATTTAATATGTAATGTATAATTAAAAAATACAGGTTAGTAGTTAGTCATCTATAATGATCAAACTTGTAGTCATATAAGACATGTTTTCAAGGTTAAACAGATATATTTAGATAGATAGATGATAGATGGTCTCCAAACACTTCAAAGTCCTACAGAATTTAGAATGTATATGTTTAATAATCTAAGGTGTACAGGGAGACACATCAGCTCCTGACAGCACTAATTTACTTCAAAGATGGTGGGCATCAAAGAACCTCCATATGGAGTATGCTTTCTTTATGGCAAAAGAAAAAAAAAACTGCTCTTACCTCAATTGCCAATGGTATACTGTCTAAACTGGACCAGCAGGATGTCAAAAAAAGTGACAGCAAAACTTTACCAAGACAAGGTAGGACAGTTCTTCATAATCCCCTGCTTCTCAAAAATGTCTTTCAGATATACTAGGCCTGTATGCCAAAGTTGGATACCCAATGTAGCAGAAGTTTTGGATGACTTTCCAGGCAGTCAGATATCCCTGGAAGGTAACATCACACCCTTCTGGGGTCTTTGATAGAGTTAAGGACTAAATAGGTAAACTTATAGCTTTCCTTAGTTTTGACAAAAGGAAAATTAGGTATAAAACTTTAGACTCAAATATATGATAGTATTTTCACTAATTTTGCCTAATACAAATGTACTGGATATTTTAACTGTAATTATTACATGACAACTGTTTTGTTATATATATAATTTTACTATGTTAAAGTTAAAATGCTGTGGAATAATCCTTCTGTACACTGTGGAAATGTGTTGCTCTCATTGTTAATAAGTAGCTGATGACCTATAGCTAGGCAAGATTTTCAGGGCTGAGCGAACACTGGAGAGGAGAAGGGTGGAGTCAGAGGAGACTCAAGCCCTTTGAAGAAGGAACAAGGGAAGTTCATAGATGAGATAAAAAACCATTGGGGCAGCAAGTAAATTAACAGAAATGGATTAATTTAAGTTGTAAGAGCTGGTTTGAGACAAGTCTAAGGTATTGGTTGACATATATATTTAATATCAAGTCTCTGTGTGGT